CTTAAAATATGGACAAGGACGATGAATTGATAGATTTGTTCACATTTTTTATTCAATTATTATGGGGTATCCTGCAGTGTAAATGGATGTGTATGTTACTAATGCTTCTGTTCAGAATTGAACAAAAGTATTTACCAGCATTTTTCCTTGGCTGACTTGAATTTCTTCTTGTTCTACAGGCAATGTTTTCTGCAGGGACAGATACAGTAGCTGTTACCATGGAATGGGCAATGTCACTTCTGCTGAATCATCCAGAGATATTGCAGAAGGTAAGAGAAGAGATTGATAGTCAAGTTGGGCATACGCGCTTCGTAGAGGAGTTGGATCTTCCCAAGCTAAAATATCTCCGTTGCGTCATCAATGAGACGCTTCGGTTGTATCCTGTTGTGCCACTCTTACTCCCACGTTGTCCATCTGAAGACTGTACCGTGGCAGGATACAAGGTTCCAAAAGGCACAATCCTACAGGGCTGGTGAATGCTTTCGCCATGCATAGGGATCCCAAGATGTGGGAACAACCTGACAGGTTCAAGCCCGAGAGATTTGAAGCGACCGAGGAGGAAAAGGAGGGCATCAAGTTTATTCCATTTGGTATGGGAAGGAGGGCTTGCCCAGGATCTAACATGGGTATGCGCGCAATCATGTTGGCAATGGCTGCACTTTTTCAGTGCTTTGAGTGGGAAAGGACTGGACCGGAGATGGTTGATATGACAGTAGCAGCAGCAATTTCTATGGTTAGGGCTAAGCCTTTGGAGGCTTTTTGTAAACCATATCATTCCATGGCTAACCTCTTCTCCCAGCTCTAGTGCGAAGGTATGATCGGGCTTCGAGTCCTTCCATGTAGCTTTTTTCTATGGTTGGACCGCTTCAATCTTCATGCTCATTCTGGAATGATTAATATGTAAATTATTGCTTGATTTGTGTGATTGAACTGTAAGGAAAACGTGCTGTTGCCTTTGAAATAAATAATGTTTAGATACATCATCATGTTGATTTTTCTTTCATAGTTTCAGAAAAGATATCCATGATTCAAGGGTTGATTTTTATTTTTAATTTTAAAATTTCAGAACTACACTGTTTTAATAAAAAATTTCATTGAAAAAACCAGCAAGTTGATGAGTAGATCTTGATTGGATTAGGTTTAAATCAACTAAGTTACATGAGGAATCTAAGTCTTTGACCAATTATCTAAGTTTTTTCCATTTTTCTTCTACTTGATATAGAAGCCAAGTTGATTGGTCCTGGATGGACCTGTTTAAACTAACCATGGTATAGGACAAAAAAAAAAAAAAAACCAGGATAAAAGTTAATATGCTTACCCGTTACCCCCATTAACATATTATCCTAGATCACTAGCTTTCTTTCTACCGTGTCCAATCTTCAAATAGAGAAATCGAGAAGGAATCATATGATCCGCTACAGGGAAAAATCGAAGTAACTCTCTGGTTGAACCTGGCAATCCTCCTCTCTGTCTAATTGATACAATATATAGCAAAAAAATAGAATTATTTTTTTTAAAAAAACCTTAAAGAAAAGGTCATCCACCTCTATATAGCAAAAAACTCATCCCTTAAAAGAAAAATAATTAAATTATGAAAAAATATATAAAAAAAAAATTCCACTCCTAATCTGAGGGCATTTCTCGCCTGATTTTGTTCTAGCGAGCTCACTTTTTAAGGGATACACCATGCAGCAGAACCTCCTAGTGAGATAGTGATTGAATCTAAATTATAATTATTTTGTCTAGTATTTAAAATTTTCATATTTTTTTTTAAGCTTTGTCATCTAACTACAGACAGGTGAAAATCATTTCACTTAAATTATCTTATCTCATCTTAATTTCAAAAGTTGCAATTTTTTTCTGACTTTTTCCATGCTCAACACATTGATGTAAAACTAAGGCTGCCCAATTTGGCTGCATTATACGTTTTATTTATTTAAGATGCCCGTCATAAGATGCCTTCTCTAGAATTAATATTAATAAATCTACGGGTACAAATCAATTACTATCACCTTTGACCTAGTTTGGGAATAGGCTTGTGGAAATTTATTTATTTATAATTTATAATTGTTTTTTATGTTTTAATATATTAATATTAAAAATGAAAATTTTAAAATAAAAAATATTATTTTTATATATTTTTTTAATAAAAAAACACTTTAAAAAACAATTAAAATACATTTAAAATCAACTTTAAAGGGTGGTTATACCTTGATTTTATTCTTTATAATCATCAATTCAAGTTTTATAAACCTCGTAATTTCTAGAGACTTATAAAGTTGTTTATATCAAGAGATCTTTAATATCTCTAAAAAAACATGGAAAGAAAGAAAAAAGAAAAACCAAAATTATTTTTATTACCAGCAATGTCACGTACCTCATTTTTTAAAAATGGATCCACAACTTAATTGTTGGAAGTGAAACTTTAAGTGTATTTAATACTGTAATAGTTTTTATAGTTATGATATAAAAAAAATATTTTATAAAAAATATTTTTGATTAAGATTAGTTTGATATTTATATATATTTAGTTAAAACTATATTTGAAATTCAGGTGGAATAAAAATTAGTTTAATATATTTGATTAAACATGTTTTTCAAATTAAGGTTATAAACTAACTAAAAAGGATATATATTAATATTGATGGTTTTAATTTAAATACTATAGATTTAACTACCATTATTACATCATTAAATAAATAATATTTTATATCAAATATTTTTTATTATTTCATTAACTTATCTATAATTTCATCATGTATGAAATTCATCCGATAAGGATTATAGTTTTTATGGTTTTTTGAGCGTGCAAAAAAATCAGTTAAAATATCATTGGAATTGCAATCAAATTCTGCAAACGTTACGTCATCATGCAATCTTTTTCTAATTTATATAGTGTCATTGAATAGTATTAAATACTAATTTTTCAAGAAAAATATAATTAAAAAAATTAAATTTTCTTTTGCCAGAACATTAATAAACAGTGAAGTGAATAGTGACTCTTGAATTAATTCACCTGGTATTATTTGGTATTATTTATACGAATGATGCTAAATGAATTAATTCATTTTGTATTTCAATAAATAAACAGGATAAAATAAATTAATTTATTCTATATACATATAACAACAATAATAAATAATAAAAAACAACAATTTTTTACTTTAACAAAACAGACGATATGACCTCAATTTTTAGGGAGATACATCTCTAAAATCTGCATTCAAATATTTAACTAAACAACTATAAATTATAATCATAATAAAATACAGTTTCAACTACAATATCAAACAAACAAGGAGTAACGAAAGCGCCTTTGGCTGAGACGGACACTGATGTTGGACAGGATCGCTTTTCGGATGAAACTGATCTACCAAAGCTAAGGGACCTACAGAACATAAACGACGAGTCACTTAGATTATATCCACCAGTTCCGCTTTAAAATACTAAAAAATAATAAATTTTTTTTAAATTAAAATTTCTGAGAATGTAGTTTGGCCGGCAAACTAACACACGAAACTTCTGAACACTGTACCGTTGGTGGTTTTGATGTGCCACGGGGCACTGTCTATGATACTGATCAATGCATGGACCATTCAGAGGGACCCAGATCATTGGGTGGGATCCAGGCAAATTCATGCCAGAGAGATTTGAAGCAGGTGCGTGTCAATAACCTGGTTTTTGAATTCACGACAGGTTTAGAGGTAAGTTTTCTTTCAGGTTTCCATATCTATACAAATCTTAATTTACATATAAACGTTTTCATTAATTAAACTAAACCAATTTCTCCCCAGCAAGAAAATATTAATTAATTCTATAATATAAATTAATTATTTTAATACAAGTTTTAATATTAATACAGTAGCCGTGTACTACTAATTAAATATAAAAAATTATAAGTTATAATAAAAAATTAATTTCATCCAATAAAAAGAATTTATTAACAAATTATAAACCAGAAAAAAATAACGAAATGATA